AATCGTATAACATTTGATTACTTACCGTCTGTAATTCGAATAACGACGATAGGCTGGCGATGACGGAGAACGTGCACTTGACGAACGACGGCGCATTGGTCGTCGATCATGACTAGATGAACTTCGAGAAGGACTACGAGAATCACTTGAAAATATAAGAGAATAGGGTATGTAAAAGGAAACAAGGTAATATTGAAAAGCACTGTTAGTTACCTGCTTGAATAAGATGAATACGTTGGAGAACGGGAACGACTATGGCTTAAACGTGGATGTTGTCTATAAGAGAATAAACTCAGTTTTTTTAAACAAAAATTGACCGAGAAGAAAAGATCATTTCTCGTATTTCTGACAGAGCATGTATACCTTGTACTTGTACTCTAACTACACATTCGAAGTACCTCAAATACTTTTATTTCCTTCCTTTATTCTGAATACGTCTTGTTATGATTTGTTGATGCATGTTATTAAAGAAATATCTCTTCAGTAGAAAATTATAGTCTCATCAGCATACAGTATTAGGTAGTGAGTTAGTTAAAAGTGCGGAAGTTGATTATGCGTACATGTTTACCATTTCGTCTTTTTATCACCTATCCTACATATGTTAATCTTGATGTTTGTCAAAAGATATATAATTCTACTTATTAAAAAAATTAAACAGTTATAAGCAAAGACAGAGCATGGAGAGAAGTTTTCTATCTACTATTGGGAGTCATAACAAAACTTGATGAAATAATTCTCTGTCCCGCAGAATGCTCTGCCTCTAAGTCACCCCCTCACTCGATTTCAATGGGAAAAAAAAATAAAAAGTAATGAATAAGAAGTAAAAGGCAACAAAATAAATAGTTCAAATATTCTAAATATGCTTAAAATATAAACCACAAATAATTTTACTGTTACTTGTGTACTTATACTTGTTCATGCTCTGATTTCTGAACTGTTTTCTAACTCTTTTTGTTTGATTTTCTTCTAATATTGATTAACTTACATCTGTTGTAACAATCTTTGTTTTTCACGATAAAATTCTTCTTCGCTTAAAAGGGCCGCAGCGGCGGTAGCGGATGCACTAGTAGATGTTACGGCAGGTGCAATTGTTTGATTGAGCTGAGGTGGAAAATGTTGAGTTGGAGCTGATGGGTGATGAACATGTGGATGTGGTTGATATACACCGGTATGAGCAGGATGATGACCTGGAAGCAACGTTGACTGAATTAGTTGATGCATTGGATGAGTTTGATGCGGCGGTAAATGAGGCGGAATTTGAGGATAATTATGAGCATAAGGTGGTAGACCTGGCCTTCCAACAAACGGACCTGCTGCATATGGAGGACTAAAACAAAAAAAGAATAAAAATATGTTAAACAAGGTCTACCAGCTATTATTTGGTTAAGAAATGTACAAGAAAAAATATGAATGAATTTTTAAAACTAAACCCACATTGCTGGGGGTAGTGGAATCATTTGTCGAGGTGAATAAATTGTTGATTGTATTGATACTGAAGGATAAGCATACGATAGTTGACCATAAGATTGATAAGAATTATTTGCATGTGGAGCATAGGGAGGATGCTGTGGTTGAAGATATGTTTGCTGTTGAGACATCGTTGAACGAGACATTGTTGTTGTCGTGGTTGTGGAAGGTGAAGATAAAATTGTGGATGATTGGTTACTCAATAATGCTTCGCTCGATGGTTGTGAAGAAGCTGAAGAAAAAGTAATAGATTATTGAAATAATTTTTTATACATGATAAAGTTTAGAAAATATGAGATTAAATTTTTTCGTATCGTTAATTTTTTTCTGACACTCTGATTTTTTGACGTGATTATCGAATAAAAACTTAGTATAATGCGTACGTACATTCTGCGGCTTCGATTACTGTTTGCATTGTCGATGTAGTATTGGCATTCAACGTTGTTTGAGAAGGATCTGTTGTATCCATTAAATTTACATCTGGTACCGCTGTCGAAGCAGTTTCAGAAACATTCGTTATGGTTTGGCTTAAAGTGCAAACAACAAAAATAGTTAGTTATATAAAGTACATTCACAAAGGTTTTCTGTAAGAAAAATAGGTTGATTTTATATCGTTAAAATGTTAGTTCACATAGCAAAATGTAATCTTTCAGAATTCACTGAATGCTAGAGTCGTTCAGACATTTTTTTGAGGAAATGACAAACATTCTTTTTTTCCAATAAAAATATTATAGCTAGAATATTAGCGTACAAGTTGATTCAAAAGTGTCAAAAACTATTCTTACTGTCCGTCAGGTCCATCTGGCTGTTTGCCATCTTCAAATGTCATATCCGCTGGTCTTGTAGCAAAGATCGGTTGGGGTGATGGACTTTTCTTTACTTGTTGATTTGTAATGGTTGTCGTCGATTTTGTCGTGAGAACATTTTTTGTAGCTTGAACGGTTGATTGCTGTTGTGATGAACCACCCAAAACATCAAAATCACTTTCATTCGATGTTGTCAGAGCGAGATCAAAGTCAGGATCTGATGTACTTATTGTTGTTGACACAGAATATGAAGAAGGTAGTGCATATTTTTGTTGTTGCTGTTTTTCGCTTAACCATCGTTGAACATGATTTCTTAGAAATAAATTTGGATTTATTTGATCAATTGGAACATGCTGACGATGACAAGAAGGACATTCATGTTCTTCACTTTCAACTAGACTAGTACGAACACCTGAAATTATAAAAATAAGATTGAAATAAATGAAAGTAAAAGAATAATCTTTAAAATGTTTATTTATGGTAGTGATATTTCCGAAGTACAATTATAAATAGAGAACAAAATTACAGTTAATGAATACATTCTAGCCACTCAAAACGATTTACGTATGACATTGACTTCCAAACGTTCAAAGCTGCTTAAATACAGTTCTTTCAACAGAAATAGAAGTAAAAAAATAACAATATTTCATGTTTTTCTCTTCAATATGATTAATGTACTATAATCGAAGGACCTAATTTCAAGGCCGTTTTCCAGCAAATGAATGTTTGATGTATGTATTCAAACCATTCTGCGATCTATTAAGATCATTTTATCTCTCATATATTACTCGCAATGCTCGTCCTGAACGCTATACAACTGAAAATTTCTGATATGTGTATTAATAATTTTGATATACCACTGTAATATAACTTTACCGTTCTTATTCAACTTATACGGTGGTAATATACAACTGTGCAAACAAGAAAATTCTAAGTAATAGATACTAAAATGTTTTGATAAAATATGCTGATATTGGACTTGTTAGAAAAAAGATATGTTATACTGCCACTATGTAGATAATCTTAGTCAAGATAGTCCTTTCACATTACTATCGTTTCATTATTAATATTATTATCATTTTCCTAGCTGACTGTAACGAGAAAAGCATCAGATACATCTACCCCAATTCTGATTACGTTGATTTTTGTTTTAAAAGACTACGCTCCGGTAAGATGATTAAGTTGGAGACCAAAATCGACTAATTCTGTATTCTCTCTCCTACTTCTTTTCAGAAAATAACATATTTACCCCCTTGAAGTCTTTAACGTAATTCTTCAGACTAGTTATAGTCGAAATATTTTCGATTATGCTACTATTACGGCGTTCACAATCTGACACATAAAAAGTGATGAACTTAACAGACAATAGCCATGCACTTCTACCCACGTAGCCACCCTCCATGTACAATCTATTTATTATTATAAATTGCTTACATTCATCACAAAAACTCAAGTTACAACACGGTGTTATAACAGCATCGACATAGATTTTGTTGCATAATGGACATAAAAGATCGTGTGGTATTGGATCGTCTTCAATTTTGGACGAAGAATTTAATTTAAGAGTAGAACTGGATGTTGTGGAAATGACTGCAGATTTCGTTTGTTGTTGTTGTCTTAGACGATTGGCTGCTTGTTCATGTTTTCTTTCGCTCTTTTCAACTAATGCTTCACTAAAAATTTTAAAAAAATACTAATTTGACAAGTATTACGACAAACAAACTCAACTACTTACGCCGTTTGTTTTGGTATAACAAATGATCCGGTTTGATCTCTTAATGAACCTGGAATATGTCTTGGTACAGAGATTAATTCAGAACGTGGCAAACCACTTGTTCGTTTTGGTTGCGGTTCACGAATATAGCCACTCTGTCGACCATGATGTGCAGAATAATTAATCTGATATGGAGAATGATGCTCTTTACCACTTTCATTCTAAACAGTAACAAAAAAATTTTACTGAATGATAAATTGTACAATATTGAAATATTTACCATTGAATTTAGTGGACACGTTGGTTTATGTTGTCCTTGTTGATTACATTTGTGACAGACATAAGATGTAGATGTTGATAATGGTGACCGATGAGATGAACTATAGAGAAAGAGAAAGGAACATAATTAATCGAAAACACATGTCTTTTACCAAAGACTTACGTAAATCTTGTTTGTGAGCCTTTTATGATTTCTTTTATTCTTTCATCCTCTGTCATTTGTTGAGATTGATGAGAACCGCCAGCAGTCTAAACAGAAGAACAAGTTTAAGAACTGTATTTGTATACTTTATACTAAAATACTTACTCTCAACATTTCTACTGGCACAGCTTCACTCTCAACAATTGACGATTGATTCGACTAGTAAATGGATACAAGAAGATTGATATAAAAGAACTTATTAGAATTGTTGCACAATACTTACAGAGATATCACGTCCTTGAGGTCTTATTGCGGGTCTTAATATACTAGAAAAAAAATAACAAAAACAAAAGTAATTAAACAAGCAAGAGAAAATCTAATGTACAATTTTAACAACTGATAGAGAGATCGACTCACTCATAAATAACATCGTCTGATGATGCTGTATTATTATTATTTGTTAAAGGTGTCAATGGTTCAACACAACCTCGAATTTTTCTTGCCACAACAACACTTGTATTACGTGGTATTAAATCATTATGATCCTTGTATTCTAAAAGAACAATACAAATCATACAGCTATCATCATTTAACAACATATCGTATAAAATTAATTACCTTCGTTTGAATTTGAATCGCTAATAGTTAATTCATAATCATCTTTTGGATGATGTGATTTGGAACATTTTTCCATAATTAAACGCTTAAGTTCACCTAGTGAACAACTTGCACCATCAAATTTAACAGATTCATAATTTTTATCAGCTTTAAATCGATAACGGATAATAGATGACATGATGTTTTTTTTTTACAGTTTTATTAATAAATCATACAGTAAAAATAATACAAAATAGTGCAAAAAAATTCACATAAACAGATATGAATAAATATGCTGGTTTAGAATAGGAATAAACAGTTCATCGGAATGATGTAAAAATAAACATAAATACTAGCACTGGAAAAAAATCACCAGGGGTAGGTATAAATTGAGAGAGAAAGATAGATAGACAAGAGAACGACTTATAGTTATCTAGAATAAAAAGCAAACAATAAATTATATAATAAAACTAAATGAAAAGTACAACATATAAAATAAGATTTAAAATCAAAGAATGAGAAACGACTAAAGGCATCTGTCAACATACTACACGGATGGTTCATTTTTTCAAAAGCATTTTCTCATAGAAAAAGACCCTACTTTTTTAACCAAAATCACAATAAAGTAATAGATGATGATGCAATAGTATTAAACAGTACTCTGTACAAGTTTAGTACATTTTAATCCACATATGAGTCTTTTTAAAAGTTATACAAGGAATAAATCTAATCGTTAAAAAAGTTTCAAAGAGGTTAATTGATGGATCAAAAATCTGCTGATGTAAGAACATTTTTATACTTTTGATTGTTCAACCTGCTCTCAATGATGTATCAATTGCTGATAAAGGTACGCTTATTTAAATATCCTATAACAATCTGGTATTTTGCTTTTTCGAAAATGATAATTAAAGAAAAAACGAAGTGAATGTAGAAAAAGTGAAGACAACCCAGTAAAGAAAGCTGTAACAAGATCTGCAGAATTTAACTAAAATTCCCAGAAACGTATATAGACAATTAAAAATTTTTGATAACTTACGAAAAGTTCTAAAATTTATACAGAGTTCTGTAATATAGAAAAAAATCTCAATGACTTCGAAGTTCTGAAAATAGTATAGTTCAGATTATTAGCAGATATATTTTGTTTGAGAAGTACGTGTCACGGATTTTAATAGCATACATAAAATTTCAGCATAGGAGTTAAATCATAAGCAAAGAGACTGCCGATGATTAAAAGAATTTGCAACTGACTTCAAAAAATGTTAATATTTGCACTGTAAGTCATGCAATGGATTCGTCCTTTCTCATTCGAAACAAAACTATTTATTCTACTATGATGACTCATGGTAACCATCTTTGATTAGCAAATTATGTACCTCCTACATATTTATCACTTCCTACCTAACAGGATGAAAAACATTGAAAATATTTTCTGTAAGAACATAAAGTGAAATGAACTATAATGGGAGACAAGAATGGTCTTTAGAAGGTAAAATATTGGTATTCGCGACCTCTTTGATCGCTGCAGTTATCGATGACTAATTGCTATTGGTCGTGCATGAATGAGTAATGGGTCTTTTTCCTTCCAGTCCTGCTTCGTTATTCGTTTTTTTTATACTTATCTGTATTTTTTTGGGGCCAGAAGAAAAAAGGTAGGATTTTTTTGACATGTAAGTAGAGAATAAGTAGAGAATAATGTTTTTCTGTCAAAAACTTGCTTTCTGAGACGCCGTTTAGTTGCTCTTGATATTCTTCAGTTTGAAAAATTGAAAAAAGAGTTGAAAACTCCAATTAAAGAGTTCGTTATTGCGAAAAAGCAAATGTGAGTACGAGATGAAGTGTTTTCTTTTCTAAAAAGACACTTGAGTTACCAGATCCAAGATAATAGAAAAGTGTATTAATCTTATTTTCTGATCTAATGCAATTACTAAACTGACTTGTACCCATGATTGTTTCATAGACAGACAGAGCGTGAATTTTTTAGCAGACGATGAATCCTGTTTCTCTTTGAAATTCACATGTGGTGTTCTAAAGAAAAAGGCTCAGTTCAACAACATCTGTTGTCCTCTCCGCCATATCATCTATACAGGATTGCCATCTTTTCCACTTTGGTGGAAAAAAAACTACGTGGTCCTTTTCCACCTTTACTGTTGTCTGTTGTTGATTGAATGTAACCTCTTTTGATAAACTTTATTTTCTATTATTGCATCTATAAAATGGATCACCAGCCTTCTTGAATCTACTGATTTAAAAATGAATCTTCATTGCAGTTAATAGTTTTTTCCGTAAAAACGCGTCGTGAAGCGAAAAAAATGTTTTCCGTGTTCTTCCGTTTTCTTCGGATTTTCTTTTTGTTGTTCGGACTTCCGAAGGTGGGAACCCTGTAACAGAAAAAACACGCCAATATTTCAAATATTTAATTATTTGTTCGAATACCGTAAATTGTGATTCATGTATATCTAGAATTCTGCAGTTTCACATGAAGAGTGAAATACATTCTGACTAGCAGTAAGCTTTTGAGGTTATTGTTTTGAACAGACATGAATGGAATATAATTATGGTCCAAACTAGCTGCTGTTGTGATATCTATCATCGACTATCATCAATCTATCATATTATTTCAACTATTGCCACTAAATGGAATATGAATGGCTTTGTGATCAAAAATGGAACTTTCAAACGATCATTTCCATATATTCCTGCTCCACTTAACTAGTCCTGTCTGTTTGCATATAGAAAATTCATCGGGTTTCATCATGTATAACCAGAAATCAAATTTATTAAATTTTTGTTTAAAAAATGGAGTTGAAAACTTTAAAAATAGTAGAATACCTCAAATTCAAGTCATCACATAAATAAACGATGATAAGAGTTGCAGTTCAAGGCGTCAAAGCACTCACAAGTCGTAAGATCCACACAAAGAGTAAGATCCTGTTTCCAGGTCAATAGTAGTCTTAGGTGGTAGATGTACAGACTGCGTCTATTTTAGAATGCATAAGTAGCCGATGTTTAGAAAGATCATATCCTTTTTTCGAAACTAATCAGCACACGTGGGCTAATTGAAAATTTGAAGAAAGAAGATTTTTATTAAAGCGTTCCTGTCTTCGTTACACAAGTGAATTTCCAAAGAGAGGCTATGCTTTTTTATAGATAGAACTCTCATCTTTGAGACCAAAAAAGTTTATTTGATTATATTGTATGTGAGTAACGATAAAAAATTGACATGAAGTACCGTTTAGTCATTACCGCATTTTAAAACTTGCGTATTTTTGAAGATAACTGCGATTTCTAAGAATTGATCATCTCTCTAGACCAGACTTAAGATCTTTGTTGAAACTTTTTTCTAGTTTGTTATAAGGTCCCGAGGTATTACGCAGCGAAAATTACGTGTAAAAATAACGTGTCAGAAATTCAAACTTTCAGTAAAATTTTTTCTTTTTTTCTATACATGATTCGATAGAGCACATCAAACTGAGTAAGATAAACTGGTTTTTAACTTTTTAAGGAATAAAAATTCGAAAGGTCTAAGCAAACTCGATCACGCATCGTTCTCATACTCAGTTTTAATCCTAGATCTGAAAAAATACTTTTGAAATGTTAGAAGAGTAAAAAAGAAAAAATTTGAATTTTTTTGAAACTAAAGCATTTTTTTCACCACTTTTCTCTTACATTATTCTAAATACCCATTGCTTTTCTGTAGTTTTTCCTGAAAACCGGTTTTCAGAAACAACGTTTGAATCTTTTAATGTATGTGTTGTGAGTTTGAACGGTTATGTGTATTCTCCATATTGTAGAGCACATTATCCTTTTAAAAATGTGACGTTCCACACACCTCCGTACTATTCTTTCCCAAAACGATCAAAGTATTATAATATAGTCATAGCTGGTAACTTCAGCAAGTTAAAGAAAAATACGCTAAAAAAGTCTTTTGAAAAGTAATATCAATGAGGTTTTTTAATCGTTTCGAGAGAAATCGTTCCTTGCTAGTGGGACAAAAGGTTCCGCTGGAAAATTCCTTTAGAACCTAAATAAATTACTTGTATAGTAAAAAGCAACAGTGATTCTGAAGGAAGACAGATTAAGTCATACATTGACGTGTAAGAAGATTGTACTTTTTAAGGATCAACTATTTCTTTAGTTGACACACTTAAGATTTTTTATTTAACTTTATTCAATTTATAAAATTTTTCACTCACTTATTTCCCTAAATTATGAAAGTATACTAATAGTACGCATTGGTATGACACTTTTGTTTTATTTTATTGATTGCATTTTTGATTTCAGAACCATTTTACTGTTTTATTTAGATTTCTATTCTCAGTTTCTTAAATTTTTACTTCTTTTTAAACTCTTCTGATGTTGGCCATTAATTAAGAATTATGAGCACTCTAAATTCAGATGAATCCGATAATGAAGGTAATCTGAAATCTTTAATCCCGTATAAGGATCTTATTTTTAATGTATTTTTCGATATTTTTTCTTTAGATTATTTTGATTGGAATGAATATATGAAGTATACAAAAAGTCAACCAGCGCCAGCAGAATGTTTCAAACAAGTATGATGAATGTTTTTGCTTGCCATTCTGTAGTTGTTTTTATCATTTATTACACATATTTTCTCTTTTCAAGTCTATTCAACCTCCTGTGAATGAATTCAAAATAGGTGATAAAGTCGAAACAATTGATCCTCGAAATGCTACATCGTGGTGCATTGGTACAATTATAGAAAAATGTGGACCAAGATTAAGATTACGATTAGATGGGACAGATGATCGGAATGATTTTTGGAAATTAGTCGACTCAGCCGATATACGATCATATGGATCAACAGTTAAACTGGTTTGTATCGTTCATTTAATCACGCACCAACTATATAATAGATTTAGTAAATGCTAGAAAAATATTTGAATTCAGTAAGAACGAATCGTACATAGTGGTAGAACAGTTTGTAGAGAAATAGTTGAGCTCTAATCCTGAAGATAAATGTAACAGAAATATCTGTTCTTTAAAATTTTCTACAACTTCACGTAGTAACTGACGCAATAGTTAATCATACTCATAACTTTTTGTTGTAACTATTGTATATCTACGCCCATAGCACCTTTCTCATCTGTATGACATTAAAGAAGCCATTAACAGTCTCGGTTGTCAAATTAAGCGTGAAGTTACCTAGGTAATTACCGATACCGACAGTACTGGAAAATCTTGGTAATTTTTAATCAAAGTATCAGCACTGAAGTATTTACAATTGCCTACTCACAGATTGGAAGAATATGTGGTGCTCACTCAACTTTTCACACTACTTAAGACTATTTAATGCAACTGTCCTCGTCTTTAGCAACTCTTATCTTTTTCAAGATCAGGATTTGTATTATATTTGTGTTCATGTTATTCTTTTAGGGTCAATCAATCGTGCCACCGCTTGGTTTTCAACAAAACTCTACACGATGGCTAAAATATTTTGAAAAACATGTTGAAATGGGCCCATTTGCAAGTGAAACATGTTTTATATCAGTATGTATTTCAGATAAAGAAACATCTTTCTAAATATCATAATCGTTTTGTATATTTAGGAACCTCCATCTCCTAAAACAAATTTCTTTGAAGTCGGTCAAAAATTAGAAGCTGTTGATCAAAAAAATCCGCATTTAATTTGTCCAGCAACAGTTAGAGAACTATTAACTGGAAATCAAATGCGAATATCGTTAGACGGATGGAGTAATCAAAATGATTTTAGAATATCGTGTTATTCGAGAGATATATTCCCCTGCGGTTGGTGTGCAAAAGTAGGATGTAAATTAACAGAGCCTGGTAGTAATGGTAAGTCGTAGATGAAGAAAAAATATCGTACAATCCACGTATTTTTTACACTAACTTTTTCTTCTACATCTTTTCTCTTTGAGAATGCATCACTTACATTTGTTAATTAAGCTTTGTTTATGTTTTTCTTTAGTATATAAAAATGATTTACAATCAAAATTATTTAAAGATAATAAAAAATCATCACCACCTTCGTTAATTCCAACAGTACAAGTAACACCTGTTGTTCAAGATCCAGAATTATCGTCCAATCATAAAGATGAAACTGATATAATTCCAAATTCGAACAGTTTGAAAAGTTCTCTACCGTCAGTAATGTCAATAACAAATGGAGAAAAAGTTAAAAAACATCATCATCGACATCATAAACATCATCATCATCATAGAGAACCGAAACATGTAAAAAATCTAACATCTTCATCGGATGATTCTCTCCTAACAAAACAAACATTAACGACAGATGATCACTTTATAAATGGAAAAAATATGACTGATGACCACAATAACATAATTGATAAAAACCAACATTCAGCTCTCATACAGAATGGAACAATCACAGAAACTGATTTAAAAACAGGTAATTGAAATAGCTTTTGTTGTTTTTAGACTCTGCTGTTCTTCGTTGCCAGCTAGTTCGATCATGTGTTATGTAAAGAAGAAATTTGTGATAAGCTCTTTGAATATACTCTTTTACATATTATTACACAGTTTATCGATGTATAATGTGAGAATAAATTGAAAAAAGTTAGTTTAAATATTATTACACTTACCAATTTTAACATTTTAAGTCCATCTTTTAATCTTTTTTTTCTATGATAGGTCTTTTTTCTTATCGTAAAACAATTCAATTTATTCTAGTGATCTTTAAAACTATTTACGTTTATATGGTAGCAAAGAAGTTAACACTTATCTAATTTACATAATCATGCGATTTGTTATTACTTAGGAGAGCTTAGAAGTAAATGTATTTAATAGGCAAGATTATGAGATTATGATGAAAGACTATAATGAAACATATTTTACGATCATTTTTCTGTCATCTTTGAAAGACAAAAAGTCTAAGCAACATTCTAGGGTGTGATTTTTGAAATTTTTAGACTAGTAGACTAATGTTAGAGCTATAAGAAGTAGTAGTATGCTGAGTGTACGTTGATATGATCGAATATCTTCAAGCCAGGGTATATATTTGTTCGGTTTATTTCAATGCTTTTTTTAAATTTATTACAGTGACTGCTTATTTGAATTGTTCTGGTGATAACGGGGGAATGTTAATGAATCCTCAAAAATTACGTACATTATTACCGTCCAAATTTGGCCCAGATGAACCATCAAAAGTTTTAAAATTAATACTTGACTCGTGTTATAGATGTGCATTTCAATCGTCGTCTTATATTGATTTAATTCTTAATATGACACCAATTACGCTCCAAAAGTCAAAAATTGAAAGTAAGTATCATACCTTATCGATCGCTAGAATTTCTTTCATTTATCGATAAGAAATTTTGAACAGGTGATAAACTACAAAAATTTTGATGTATCTTGTAATATTTTACTGTTCGACTTCAAGAAATCTATCAATTCATTTTGTAGCTTACTATTTCTTTTTTTTAGTGAATAATGGTAAAATAGTAAATATACCAGAACTGAAAACGTCTAATGACTTTTGGGATATATTAAAAACATTTTTAAATACAATACAGGCTGGTTCAGACTTATTTGTACGAAATCTTCTGCCACCTGTTCTTGAACAATCCAATCATTATCAATCAGGTAAGGTGAAGAAAAATTGTTTGAAATGAAATAAGAATTGTTTTTGTTTGTTCTTTTCAGAAAATCAAAATGGTACATCAAATTCACCGACATATTTTCAACCATCTAATTCAATACCAGGTTGGTAGTTGAATATTAACGATTCTATTATAGGCTAGTGATATTAGACAATATTCTCATCTTATCAAGTGAACTGAAAAAAAGATTAATGTTATTCATACTGACTAGAATCTATTATGAATTCTGTACTATTCTGTATCTTCTATAATTGCTTTCGTAATCTTAGATAGATACAATTTAAATCGGAAACGAAAGAGTTCGGAAACATCTACGCATATAAAAAATAATAGTTCAGGTAAAGAATATTTGTGCTCAATCTATATGATTATTTTTGACAATATATATGTTATTTAGATTCATTATTATTGGCTAATACTTCTTCCATTGATAATAAGAATAAACTGAATGGTGATATTAATAAGAAAAAAGATAAAACATTAAAAGCTAAACGATCAAGTTCCAAAGATAGATCTGTTTATGATTCATGTGAGAAGTTATTTCTTCAATCTCGTTTATAAACACTAATTCATATATGATTATAGTGGTAAATGAAACAAGCCATCATCAACAGCAGCCAAAAACGTCTACACCAATAGTACAAAACGGATCATCTTTATTAACAGCAAACTCAAGAACAAGACAATGGTCACCTCAATTGAGTCAAGGTACGATTATCAAATGTCCAAATTATACAGTGTTGAATAGGATTTTATCTCAGTCCGTCTCTTTGAACAATTACGATTGGATAATGAGCCTCAGTTATTTTTTACCACACAAAATTTCTGAGTAAACTGTATAAGTTCTTTTGTAATTGGTTTCAGTCACAGATGTGAAAAAGATTTTGATGGATATTAGTTAGTGTTGAATTGCTCTATCATTTCCGAATAATAGAGAGTCTGAAAGAATACCATCTTTATACAGTGAAAAAATAGATCAAAATGATGTATTTAGCTGAAGATTACTCAGAAAAAAAGGGAATTTATACAAACCTTCGCAATATCTTGCTCTTCAATTCCTTTACTACTCTTGGAGACTTTTTACTTCTCTTTCTGAAATCCTGCTAAACTTGGATTATCAGCTAGTCTATAAGTAGTACACCATTGTGAGGACTCTTTGGACTCTATAATTAGAGAAAAGTTATTTCCTTATGAAATGATGGGTTATAATGAAAATTTGCTATAGGATTCTAGTCAAGAAACAAAGTTGATTAAATCCTATAATAACTTATAGTATTATGTAGGAAGCTACAAAATTCTAGATAGAATTTGATGAGATCTTATTGTAGAATTCTATTGTAAGAAGTCTACGTTATTTCCTACTTTAAGAAGGCAGACGTATTTCCTATATGATCCTATCTTATTTCATGGGATCAGCTAAGTTCCTATTATCAGATCTGCTAAGATCTTATATGGTTCTTTGATCTAGGTTATTATGAAAAGTAATCCAAAATTGAGACCTTTTGTAATACATAACACACGTTTCGTTCTCTCATGAATATAGACAATCATAACCGCTAATCTTTCTCGTTTCTAGGACGAACAATACAGATTAATCATTATTCCGTTGAGGATGTCGCAAATTTTATTCGTCGCATTGACGCCTCATTTGAACCGTTAGCATTGCGTTTCACTCAAGAAGTAAGATGACAACTAGAATAAATTCATGTTTTTTTTTTTCTATTTTCTTTATTTTAGGAAATTGATGGTAAAGCCTTGTTATTATTAAATACAGATACATTAATGAAACATTTAGGCTTAAAACTTGGTCCTGCATTAAAGATAATTCATCACATTGATACGTTGAAAAAATAAATAGCCGGTTTCTTCTCTATTTTCTGTTCTTGTTTGTTGTTAAAGTGCTAGTCGTTTAATCGGTGGTATTTTTCTCTCTCTATCTCTTTTTTTTTTTTCTCTTGAATTGTATACTCGGTGAAATGTGTTCTTCTTGTTGTTATTATTGTTTTTATTTCTCTGTCTTTAGTTTGCTGAAGCTGTTTCTTTCCCTATGTAAATATATTTATTTTTACAAATATTATTATTTTTGTTAGAAAATTACAATCGAGAGGATATTTTTTATTTTCATTTCTCATAAGTATGAAAAAAAACCTCTAAAACAATAAAACAGTGTGCTTCTTTTCGTATATAAAAAGAATTATTTGTATATTATTATTATCATTATAGATAATTTTTGTCTCTGTCTTGTGAGTCTTATCGTTTAAGAAATGTTAAATTATACGTTGTAGTCCAACTATTTGGTAGTAAACGTATATAATACGAAGGAAACATCTGTTATTGTGTATTGTTTTATATGTTCGAATAATTCCCATTTTTATTATCCATTTTGGTCAGATTTTCTTTTTCTTTTAATATAAGAATGTCATCACTTCATTCTCAATAGTTCTATTTACTAAAAAACAAGTTTCTGTTGAATAAATAATCATTTGAATATAAAATACTCCAATAAAATAACTTGTGATCGATTTTAAACAACATTCGATGAGAGAAAATTTTGTTTTTTTGACAGTTATATGCCGGAGCGTTTCATTTTTAATATCTAATTTAATAGCAATTTGTCAAATCTGTTTAAGAAGTATGTGACTGACGTATTGTTTTCTCATTTTGTCTATTTCAGTCTGATCTATGATTAGATAAACTGGTTCTCGTTTTTTTTTTAGTCACCTAGCGAAGCTGATTCTTTTCTTTTCTTTTTTTGTATTGAATATGAAAAATATGTTGGCAATATATATAGATATACATATATAAAGTCTTTTTTTTTTAAATTGTTTTCTGTGTGTTATGTTATTTACTGTTCTAATCTAGAAATAATACTTTACGGTTATTGTGTCTTGTTTTTAAAAAAAACGAATAAGCTCTTTCTACTTTTTCCGCTGATCTACCTGTGTTCTTTTTCAAACTGTTTATTTTCATAAATGTATATATATATATACAAGATAAATAAAAGATTTACGAGAGATTTACATTCAATTTGGTAAAAAAATAAAATAAAATAAATCAATTATCATTAATTTTGATTATTCAATGGGATTTTGCAATTTAGCGCTATATTTTATGCATCAGCAATTATTTTATTTTCTAATTGGGCCAAATTCTTTTAAATTGTCAAATCTAAAAAACATTTTGAACATTTAAAATTCTACATATTGGAGATGTTATCAAAACGTTTTTGTTTGCTTTCGAGGTGAATGGGAACGATATTTTGGTTCTCAACATGAATGTCAACCAATTTGGATTGTAACTTAAATATTGCATATTTCTAAAATAAATTCAAAATCCAATAGAATTTCTTGTTCTAATTAGTGAAAACTATAATTCTCTGCATAGGATAATCTCATCTATGAACCAATACGAGAAGAACTAAAATGTTTTTCACAAATAAACTATGTTTATAAACCTCATACAAACCTTTCCATATTCAAAGGTGTTGATGAATGGATAGAAAAATGAGTACAGGAAAATATTGTCGATTTTATTATTGGTGGTTGTACCATTACATCATGTATTCGTGTATCATCGATTAATTTAAAAAAAAGCTCTTATCGATAAATTTTTATGTTATTCTGAAACTTTGTGATACAAGAAAATCAAATTATTTGTAACATTGTCATACGTATTTTGAAAATTATTTTCAAAATTCAGCAGCACACAGATGTAAGAAATGTGATCAAGATAAGTACAAAGAAAATTTACCAGTAGAATAGGCTTATAAACAAATGACAGAACAAGGAGTGATTGTAGTCAATGAATACGATCTAAAAGAATTTTATTATAGAATAGAGATGTTTTATCCATATTGTTAATATTAAATTATGACATCATTTTCGCACATCAAGACGAGAAATACAAGTGATGATTATTATGCTTACAGTGCCGTATTCTATTCTAAAATTGATTCATTCATCTAGAAAGGATGAAAGCTCTATGAGAATGTTCATTGTAGAACGAATGTGGTTTCCAACGTAGTTAAATGTGCTGCTAATTACTAATCATATGATATATTCAAAATCATCATGCTCATCATTACGTGGCAAGATGATGTAAAATAACTCAATATTTTAGAGTTGTTTTAAAAAAAAACCATTAATCACACAATTCTTCGTACCCATTTTTATTGACTCATTTGTTCTCGAGTTGATTTGCATTTTTTTAACTTTGAATTATCCACTTTATGTTTTTTTATATTGTTAGCAGAATAGCCGATTATTTGACCGTTTTTGCAAATATAATTTGTTATACAAATACAATTTTCTTCTGATGTTCAATCATCATCTTCGAAAAAATGAACTTTTACCAAATAATATGTATGTACATGACCTAAAAAAAACTAATCAGTGTTTATACATTTTTCATCGTTCTTCAAGTATGGTAAATCTAAAACATTTCCGGTCAAATACAATTGTTACTTGAGAAAAATGACTTGTCTCTTTTTTCAATGGTTATGTTCGGAAGTAATGGTCATTTTCTTACTTCAAACATGATTAAAATCTCATTTGTTTTTTTTTTCTTTTTGCGTGGCAGTATTTCTTCTCGTTTCAAAAGAAAGACGAAGAAAAAAGCTAAAAAAAATACTTGTCCATACCACAATTTGAGAGCAGACTTTTTGTCACGTACAATACAAGTAAAAAGTTTCCAAAATAAGGAAATATGGTTGTTCAACGAGACATGTTCAAATATATCAAAGAGAATTTTATTAACGCTTTGATGAATTACTTTACAGTATCCGGAATTTATAGTATGGTTAAAATCGAACAATTTTAACATGCACCTAATCAGTGGTTCATCAAGAGGAATGCTTATTTCGTTTTGTTTTTATAACTTGACTTGAGTTCGTGATATTGATTAAAATATAATTAATTACTCATGATTATAGTTTTATGTGACTTTTTTTCTTAAGAATAAGATAATTGATCTATAACGTAACAACATTAGGAAGAACTTTGACTAAATTCTTTAACAGAGACAGAAGTGAGTCGTTTAATCTGAAACCGTCTCGATCCGAAATGTTCTTGATACAACTCGTTTCGACTTCTATTCCGTAATATTATTCAAAACTGAGTGATGGATTCTTCATTGCCGTTGTTAATAGCTATTGTATCACTATTATGAAGAATTATATCACTGATAGCATATTAGAAATCATAAAGAAGGTTCATTTCTCTCTTTTTCTTTTACTGTGGATAACAGTAAATGATGCATTAATAAAAGCTCTAACTTTGATTGGTATCTGAAGTAAATTCATGTGGTTTCGTTCATTTTGTATTCTTCAATAGAGAATAAACACTACATATGTGTGACCATGATCTAGTAAGAAAGAAAATATTAATTTAATAAATTGATGATAATGTCCGAATTTGTCCTTGGCTCCGCATGTGTATGAAATAATCATGCGTTAAACGATTATGACTTTCACTTGAATTAATTTGGTTCTGTTTTCTGCTTATTTCACAGAAAGAGAAGAAAAAGAGAAATCCATACTACTGAACGGAGAACCATAAATTTCTTATTATAAATTGAGCAGAAAATGATAAATTGTTTAATCGAAATCAGCTATTTATTAGACAAAAACTGTGAGAACGAATTGACATGCCTGTTTAAGTGAAGATACCATTTTGAATACTCTGATTTGTATAGCGAAACGTTAGCAATGATCGAATAACTAGTTAGTATAAGTTTCCATACAATTATGTGGGGTTTCATTCTATTCAATGGCATTATAGAATAAGAAACATAGTAACTTTTTTGTTTTGTTTCGAGTGTATGTATTGTTTATATAACGTGTGAAATGAATCACAAGCACCTTTCTCTCTCTCTCTCTCTCTTCTACTTTTTCTATCTATATTCATGAGAAGTGTATCATTTGATATATATGTATGTACAAATAATTGTCTTTTGATCTTCTTCCTCTTTGTTGATAAAGAAAATATTATGAACATTTATAGAGAGAAAGAAGACCATCCGCGCACATATTCATAATCAGACAGAACAATAACTTTGATTTGACCAAAGGTCATATTTCGCTCTCCTACTGCTACATAGTGGTAGTCTCAAAAACATCTTGCAGATGAATTAATAAAAAAATAATTCGTTGTAAGTGTCCGCCTTTATTAAATAAATAAAATGTTTTAGCATGAATAAAACAACTTTAGGCGTGAGATGTGAGCTACGTTTGATGTTGATAACAGCAGCAACAAAAAGAAAATTATCACTCATGTTGTTGCTAGTATAAAAAAACAAAACAGACAGTTACAATTAGTTTGATTTAACGAAAATCCAATTAACATAAAAAACAGATATCATCAACAATGAAGAGCTTTTAGAGTAATATTTATGACTATAAATGGTTCTAAACCTTTTTTTCCTGTGTCTACTTACCCTCTTTGTAGAGTACAGATAAACTAAATATGAAACGAAAAGATGAAGAAAAGTAACAGTTGGAATGAAATTCTTTCACAGAAGGATGAGTTTTATTAAGACATAGGAATAATTCACTCTTTAAAGTTTTCGTATGCGTAAATAATTCGTTTTTAGTACATGTAAAGTCTTCCTATTGACAGACCTTCTACTACAGCCACACTCTCTCTCTCTCTCTGTATATATATATGTATACTGTTTGTATAGTTTAGAATCAAATTAAAATTATTCCGATCAATTCTTTTCTGTTGAATTCAAAGTGTAGATACCATATTGTGTACATCATTCATCATCATGTCTTGCTAGTAGACTAAACATATCTTCGTCCAATTTATTTTCGTTCTAATTGTCATCAATAAAAATAGACAAATGTACTTACTCCA